ATGGCAAAAACCACTACAATATTGTAAAGTAATTAGCCTCCAACTAATAAAATTAAATGGAAAAAAAAAGAAATGTGGGGGGAGATTGGCAAAGATGGCAGAGCAGGAAGATCCTGAGCTCACCTCCTCTCATGGGCACCCCAAAACTACAACAATATACAGAAGAACCAGCAATGAAAAAAGCCAGAACCCACCAGAAAAGATCTTAAACAACTAAAGATATAAAGAAACCACAAGGAGATGAGTAGGAGGTGTGAAGTGAAGTACCACACCCCCACATAAGCGACACACAAAGGCAAGAAAAATTACAATTGCAGAGATTGTCCTCAAGAACTGAGTTGTCTGAGCCCCACAATGGGCTCCCCAGCCTGATGGTCCTACAACAGGAAGATGAACCCCCAGAATGTTTGGCTTTGAAGGCCAGTGGGGCTTACGTTCAGCTGCCCCAGGGGGCTAAGGAGATAGAAACTTCACTCATGAAGAGGACATACAAAATCTCACATGCTGTGTACCCAGCATAGAAGCATTCATTTGAAAGAAGCCTGAGTCAGACCCACCTGCTGATCTCAAAGAGCCTCCCAGAGAGGCAGGAGGCACCTGAGGCTCACCCTGGCGCCATAAATACTGGTAGGAGCCATTTTGGGGAACTTGTTCTGCCACATAGACACTGGCGCTGGCAAATGCCATTTTGGAATATTCCCTCTGGCTTAGCATCACGACCCAGCCCCCTCCTACCTCCCAAGAGCCTGTAGGCACCAGTACTTGCCCAAGGCCAAGCAGCTAACTGAATGGGGACATAGCCCTACCCACCAGCAGAGAGGCTGCCTTGAGATTCTCTGACTTCACAACACCCCTGTACACAGCCCTGTCCACCAGAGGACCAGGACTCAGCTCTAAGCAGCATTGCACAGGCACTAGACCCAGGAATCCCAGGGCCCTACAATCAGAGAACAAAGGACTCAGCTCAAAACACCACTGGCAGACACCAGTGGCAGAATCCCCAGCCTCACCCACCAGCAAGCCTGCTCTCATCAGACAAGCCTCACCATTAGGATGTGGATAAGAAACCCAGGACAATTTGACAGCCCCACAGCATGCAGACCCAGTCCACATACCAGTAGGTTAATGGTGGCTTAGCTTGGTAAAGAACCTGCCTGTCAATGCAGGTGATGCAAGAGACACAGGTTTGATCCCTGGGTCAGGAAGACAACCTGCAGAAGAAAATGGCAAACCGCTTCAGTATTCTTGCTTAGAAAATTCCGTGGATGGAGGAGCCTGGAGGGCTACAGTCTATGGGACTGCAAAGAGTTGGACACAACTGAGCACACATGCATGCAACAGCACCAGCTAGGCCTGGCCCTGCCAACCCATAGGCCTGCCCTAGTTTTGTGACCAGCCTCTTGCACCATGAGTGGACACCAGTCACAGGACTACCACAGGCCTATAGTCTGTGGACCAGCCCAGTCGTCATCAGACCAGCACCAACCTGAGACCTGCTAGACTTCAGACCCGCCCACCATTTAGCCTAGCCTAGACTCAGCACCAGCCTCACCCACTGGTGGACAGACACCAGCCCCAGAATAACAGGAGCCCTGCAGATTGTGGACCCAACCCACCCAATTCTAAAAGGCAAGCCCCTGTTGCCCCAGCCTCAAAAACCAGCAGGCCAACACAAGCTTCTGAATACCCCAGAACCCACAGCCTGTTGTGTCAGGAACCAGTCTCACCAACCAATGGTCCCATACCAACTCTGGAATCCTTGGGCCCCTAGGCAAATCCCAGGACCTGACTCTGCTCTCCTGGGCCAGCATGTGACACAGCACCTGGCTTCACCTTCCAGTGGTCAGGCACCAATCCTTGGATCTCATGAACCCTGACTCCACCCACCAGTGAACCAACACTACCTCTGGAATGCCCCAGGGTTCTACAATCAGCCACTTCTAGGAATAGCATGGCCAACCAGCAACTGGCAGCCTCTGAACAAGGCAGGAACAGTCAACCAATCTGACCGAGGTCAACCAAGACTACCAGGTTGCCTACAGTACTCAGCCCACAACAGAAAGACAAGCAGCCCACATGGGGGAAAATCCTGAGGAATATAGCTCTAATGATGAGTGGGCAGTGTGTTGTTGGGACACATTGGACATCTCCTACAAAACATCATTTCTCCAAGGTCAGGAATTATAACCAACCTACCAGATACACAGAAATAAAAACAGCAAGTTAGGGACAAAAAATGGGGCAACAGAAGAACATGTTCCGAACTGAAGTGGAGATATATAATCTACTCAAGAAAGAGTTCAGGGTAATGATCAATAAGATGATCAGAGATTCTCTGGTGATCCAGTGGTTATGAACCTGTGCTTCCACTGTAGAAGGCACGGGTTTGATTCCCGGTCAGGGAACTAAGATCACACACGCCACATGACTCACCTAGAAAAAAAAAGAAAAAAGATGATCAAAGAACTTTAGAGAAGAATGGATACTCTAAGCAAGAAGTTAGTAGTTTTTTACAAAGAATTGAAAAATATAAAGGACAACCAAACAGAGATGAAGAATATAATAACTGACATGAAAAATACACTAGAAGGAATCAAGAATAGACTAAATGAAATGGAGGAATGGATCACTGTGGTGGAAGACAGAGTAGCAGAAATCACTGATAAGGAACAGAAAAAAGCATGAAAAGAAATGAGGGCACTTTAAGAGACTCTGACAATCACATTATAGGGGTTCCAGGAGAAGAAGAGAATGATAAAGTGGCAGAGAACATATCAAAGACGCATTGTAATTAAAATGTCAAACAATTAAAGAGAGATTCAAAGCAGCAAGGGAGAATTAGCAAGTTACATGTCAGGAAATTCCCATTACACAATCAGCTGGCTTTTCAACAGAAATTCTGCAGGCCAGAAGAAACTGGCATAACACACTTAAAAATTTTTAAGTGATTGAAAGGAAAAATCAACAACCAAGAATGCTCTACTCAGAAGGTTCTCAATCAGATTCGATAAAGACATCAAATTTTACAGACAAGCAAAAGCTAAAAGACTTCAGCATCACCAAATCAGCTTTACAAGAAATAGTAAAGAGACTTCTCTAAGAGAAAAGAAAAAGCCACAACTAGAAATGGGAAAATTACAATGGAGAAAGCTCAGTGGTAAAGGCAAATACACAGTGAAGTTATTTTTTTTAAGTGCTGCATTTATACAATTGAGAGCGGCATTAAGACATACCTAAACAATTAAAATCCCTAAATGTCATTACTATTTTGCCAGAATTGTAGCCTTGGGCCCTGAAGTGACTCTCAGACACGTCTGTGAGGCTGTATGTATAAAAACTATCCAGTTAAATGAACATAAATGTCACTGTTTCATGACTCATAAGGGTCATTCTCACCCTGTCCAGTTAACAAGTATTCCCTGGTAAAAAGCTCTGGCATAGATAACCCACTTTAATGCTACAGGAAAGACATTGTTTTCTTTTTTAGGAAAAGACTCAAAACTATCCTTTGTGATTTCTGAATTGAACACAAACCTCAGGAAAGAGTATTATTAAAACACATTTATACCCACACTGTGTGTACCATCATGGGACAATCATGACACACATGGCAATCACAGATATACAAAAGCTCCCCTGGCTGTCTGTGCTTCACACCCTCCCCCCGTCCATCTGTAAGACTGACAACCACCACCCATAGGAAAGATGTGGCTGCCCCAAAATGTTGCTAAGGGCATCACCGAGAGAGAGAAGGCTGCTAAAGTCAGAGTTACAGAGCACAGCATCACCCACCATTGGTTTTTCTCAACTCCTCCACCAGACAGCGAGCTTCCTCTTGAACGCGGTCCTCAATGCTCCTCTTCCCCATCCCGAAATTCCGCAGGGTCATGAGAGAGAAGCGCCGGGTCTCCTTCCATAAGTTCCCGTTGCTGAATACGACTCCTGATGGGAGGAGAAACAGAACTAGGAGGGAAGTCCTAAGGAAGGAGGAGTGAACTGACACTTGGGAGACCGAGACGAGCAAGCTCTGCTGGGGGGCTCTTGAAATTCCTGTTTTTCACCTGACCACCCCTACCCATTATCAAAGCTGAACATGTGCAAATACACACCTACCATATCCCTTAGTAATTCTTTCAATCACTGGGAAACTGCCTCTTCTAGAAAACTCCTCTCCCAAATCAATCAGAGCTTCCTTCACCGCTTCATATCCATGCAAGACTACTGTGGGCTTCATTCCAAAATACACAGTGAACACAGGGCCGTAGACTTTTGAGAGCTGGGAATGGAAATGCATGTAATAGCAAAAGAAGTCAATACTTGATAATATATTGTTCCTGATACAGAATGTGTTATCATCCTACTATTATGTTTTTATTCTGCCACATAGCCTAAAATACTTCTCAATTCAATTCTTAAGTATGACGGTGATTGTTACAGTTTCCACTTATGGATGACCTGACATCCTGGATAATGGTCCAAATAACTGGTACACAGATTAAATTAATCCTCAAATCAACACTTTCAGCAGCTTTATTTGCCCCACTATAAATAAGGAGACTGAGGTCGGGGAATTCTGGTGCATTTCCAGCATCCCAGGGCTAATATACATAGGAATCCAATTTGAAGATCTTCATAATCACCCTCTGATCCTTGAGAGGAATGTAGCAGTCCTCAAAGCCCAGCTTTAAACCATCAGCCAGCCAAGTGTTTCAGAATCACTCACACAGCAGTCCTTAAAATTCTGATTCTATAGCCCTATGATGAATACTAGAAATTTATCATTTCAAAAAATAAATTCTGATAATTCCCACCCTCGTTTGAGATCCACTGGTAAGACTAATACAGAAAGAGAGGCAACATCGTAGAGGCAGTGCTTGGAGAGACAGCATCTCATGGAAGAACAACATCTTGCACCCTGCAGCATTCACAGGATACAGACAACAGCTTCCTGCAGATTCCTGAGTGATGACTTCTTTCTTTCAATCACTCATGCTTGTCCTCATCCCAGGTCAATTCCTCTACATCAGGCACAATGCCCTTTTGCAAAAAAAGTTATATTTTCCTGACTCTCTGAACAAAACACACAGCTTATGTAGTATAAGACTTCTGGAATCACAAAACGCAGTTTACCTTCGGCCCCAAATCATAGCAAATGGCTGTGAAACAAAGGAGGGAGGCAACACTCCCAGCTTTAAATACTTTATTATTTTCATTTTACCATACAAAGAGCTAAGTGTTTCTCTACTCACAAAACACATTCCTTTTTCCTCTATTTATGACAATGACATACCTGAAAGGGCAAGAAAAGTGTCAAAATTTACAGGAAGTAATTTGCTTCATATTTACATATTTTGACAGTGTGCGCATGGAAATATATGTGTTAGCTTCATAATTAGGCTTAACTTACTTACCATTTGCAAGACCCTGGAGAAGCATAAAATCTACTTACACTGGTTAAAGATTTGCTGATGTTCTTAACATCTAACTGTAGGATGTTTCCAAGAATCGGGAGAGGAGTGGGGCCCGGTGGGAGCTTCCCATTCCCAGAGCTCTGTTTCCAGAGTGAGAGGAGAAGCAGACAGGAGAGACAGAGCACCAGGGCCACAGCCAGATCCATTGACGCCTTCTCTTCTTACTCAGACGACTGTGAGCCTGAAAGCTTTTATAACAATCCCTGTCAATTCAACTTGGGCCTCTACAATATAAACAGACCAATCAATTACATCCACTTTGCACTCTATTATGAGTAGACTTTGCCCCAATAATAAAAATAAATTGTGCTTTAATCTTATTTTCTCTGTGTCCAATGATCACTCTGGAAATTCCAGTCTAGCTGGTTTAGTTGTACTGGGATTGGGCCCATAAGTGCATGCCAAGTCAGTTCACTCATATCTGACTCTTTGTGACCTATGAACTGTAAGTCACCAGGCTCCTCTGTTTAGGGAATTCTCCAGGCAAGAATACTGGAGTGGGTTGCCAGGCCCTCCTCCAGGGGATCTTCCCAACCCAGGGATCAAATCAGAATAGTCTGTCCTTGAATTTGAAAGATTTTAAAATATTTTAATGTACTTACTGATATTACATTTGCCTATACATAAAATAGGTAATGATGACATATTTAAGATCACTTAAAAATCAAAATGCAGTAACTGTGGTTCAGGCATCCAAAATGAAGCTACACAGTCATTATGAGTGTGTTTAGATAAGTTCCTGCATTACTAAGAACTTGAATTGCCAACTGTGTCAAACTCAAGGACTCCACCAACCATTTCAAAACAGAATCTGCTACCAGGTGCTTGCTACAATTTTGTGTTTTCAAAATTCCCCACCCCCTTCACAACTATGTAACTATTTTGAACCCCCCCCTCCAAAATTCTTGCTGACAAGTATCCTTACATCTTGTCATCTACAATTCTAATTCTTTTTAAATTTATTCTTAATTGAAGGCTAACTGCTTTTTAATATTGTGTTGGTTTCTGCCATACATCAACATGCATCAGCCATAAGTATACAAACAATTCTAATTCTTCACAAGAAACGTATGTACCCTTGCAGTTTTTTGCATTTATAAATTTCCCATGTTGTAGTCTGGTGGAATACAATTTAACTGCTTCTTGGATCTGTGTCTCCTGGGCTGCAGTCATAACAAACCTCAATCAAATACCTCTTGGATTTCAACCAGATCGCCATTGTCATTAATACTAACATAATTCAAACATCTCAAAAGACCAAAGATATATCAAATAATTATATAAGTAAATCTACATGACTTTTACCTTGAAATCTCAAGTCTACTCCACCAAAAATTAAACATTGGAAAGTAGAGATGGTAATTTTATAATTTTCAGTATGGGAAAGGAAGATTCTGGGTGATTAGAAATGGCCAGTGTCATAAAGGTCATATTAGGTTGGTGCAAACAAAATTGTGGTTTTGGACCATGAATTTTAAATCCTTATAACTAGCCTCAAACACCTCTTTATTTAGAAACCATTACAATCAACACATTTTTTTTGCCAATGAGAAATAAGTTTGTTTATTCCTGTAGCATAAAAATCCATGCTTTGAGCTTCACTGAACTCTTGGAAAGCATTTTCCGCATCCTGGTTATGGAAGCGGTTTCCCTGAAAAAAGCTGTCCAAACACTTGAAGAAGCAGTAGTCAGTTGGCAACAGGTCAGGTGAATATGGTAGACAAGGTAAAACTTTGCAGCCCAATTTGTTCAACTTTTGAAGTGTTCATTGTACAACATGTGGTAAGGCATTGTCATGGAGAACTAGGCCCTTTCTATTGACCAATGTTGGATAAAGGAGTTGCAGTTTTGAGTGCATCTCATTGATTTGCTTAGCATACTTCTCAGATGTAATGGTTTCACTGGGATTCAGAAAGCTGTAGTGGATCAGCAGACCACAAAACAGTGACCATGACCTTTTTTTTGGTGTAAGTTTGGCTTTAGGAATTGTTTCAGAGCTTCTACTTGGTCCAAACACTGAGCTGGTCATTGCCAGTTCTCATACAAAATCCACTTTTCATTGCATGTTATAATCTGATCAAGGAATGTTTCACTGCTGTTGTGTAGTTCTGAAGGCTAAAATGGTAAAGAATTCACCTGCAGTGCAGGAGAGCCAGGTTCGACTCCTGGTTCAGGAAGATCCCCTAAAAAGGAAATGGCAACCCACTCCAGTATTCTTGCCTAGAGAATTCCATGGACACATGAGTCTGGTGGGATACAGTCCATGGGGTTGCAAAGAGTTGGTCATGACAGAGTGAACATAAATAGAATGGAACAGAACAGAATAAGAGAAGATGACACTTTAAAATGACACTTTTTTATTTTCAGTCAGCTCATGAGGCACCCAATTATAGAGCTTTTTCACCTTTCCAGTTTGCTTCAAATGCCAAATGACCATAGAATGGTCAATGTTGAGTTCTTCCACAACTTCTCAAATAGTTTTAACAGGATCAGCTTTGACGATCCTCTCAGTTGGTCATTGTCAACTTCTGATGGTTGGCCACTGTGCTCTTCATCTTCAAGACTTGTCTTGTTTACAAAACTTCTCAAACCACCACTGCACTGTACGTTTGTTAGCAGTTCCTAGGCCAAATGCATTGTTGATGTTGTGAGTTGTCTCTGCTGCTTTACCACCCATTTTGAACTCAAAGAGAAAACCATTTGAATTTGCTTTTTCTCTAACATCATTTCCCTAGTCTAAAATAAAAGTAAAATAAACACAAGTGATAAGTCATTGGCAAAAAACACAAAACAAGAAATGTGCACTAAAATGATGTATAACATAACAGGGGCTTCCCTGGTGGCTCAAATGTAAAGAATCTGCCTGCAACACAGGAGACCCAAGTTTGATTCCCCACATTTAAGAATTTATTCCAGTATCAAATGGCAAAGTTACTTTTGCACCAACCTAATAATTAATAAGACTCAGATTTAAACCAGAGAAGGCAATGGCATCCCACTCCAGTACTCTTGCCTGGAAAACCACATGGACAGAGGAGCCTGGTAGGCTGCAGTCCATGGGGTCGGTAAGAGTCGGACACGACTGATCGACTTCACTTTCACTTTTCACTTTCATGCATTGGAGAAGGAAATGGCAAACCACTCCAGCATTCTTGCCTGGAGAATCCCAGGGACGGGGGAGCCTGGTGGGCTGCCGTTTATGGTATTGCACAGAGTTGGACACGACTGAAGTGACTTAGCAGAAGCAGCAGCAGGATTTAAACTGAGATCTTCTGACGTCCACTGTGACGCTCTCATATATACCACAGCTGCCTCAAGAATATTTCAGAAAAACAAAATCAAACCCTCAAAATGTTACTCTGAATATGCACCTGATTGCTCACAAAATAATAGGCTTCACAATATACAGATGTCCCTGAACTCCAAGGAAAAAGACTCACAGATTCTCAAGAAAAGAAATCAAAAATAGGGATTCTCCCCTGTCCCTCACCAAAGAGGTAAAACTTACTCAGTCAACTGAGGGAAGAGCCAATTTCTGAGAACTTAGTGGGGAAGGCTTGAGAAATTATGGCTCAAGCCTCCCAGTTGCCTCGAGATACAACTGCTTCTGTTGCCTTTTGAAGTCTGTCTTTATCAAAATAAGAAAAAAATGAAATGAAGTATACACAGTGTTAACCAAAATTTTAGAAAAGACCTGACTGAAATAAAATGATGTTTATTGGGGTTTTGTTAAGACTGTGGCATGAGAGAGACTCAAGAAGCGGTTGAATTGTGCCCCACTGGACTGCAAAATGGGTGAGGCTTATAAGGGCAAAACCTGCAAAATTACATAAGTGTTTTAAGAAGTATAATTGGATCTGGCAAGTAAGGGTTCCTATTAAATATGGAAAAACTGGGGTCCAAAATGGCTGCGTAGTTGAAAGGGGAGACCTTGAGACTACAAGAGTGAAGCTGGCAGGTGTTGCTCTGAATAGGGTTAGACCTGTCTTTGGATCTAGGCCAGGTCAAAAAAATGTCAGGTTTTCAGTGGTGCAAAGACACGTCCAAGACCAGATTCCCAATGGCTGCCTGACTCCATTTATGTATGTCTGAACTCTGATTACTCCATTATAATTTCAATCTGTGATCAACAGCAGGGAAGGGAGATTGTACACAGAACAACAGGTATGGATTTGGTGGGGAATGGGAGGCAGAGACTTCATTAAACAGACCCACAGTACCAGTACATGTAGACCTGAACAGGTGATGACAGTTAGTGGTCATGAAGATCTAAATATCACTGGAAAGGTTAACATTAGAACACTAATGACAATGCTTCACAAACAGGAGTTCTACAACATATCATTATATTTGTTCAAAACTGATTAGTGAAGTTATTCCTAAGCTCTTTTAGTAAGAAAAAAATAAGTGTTTGTAAAGACCTAAATACAAAATACTTTATTCCTAAAAAAAAAAATACTTTATTCCTCAGGTTTACATGAGTTCATGTAACAGAGAATTTAACACCATTTTATCTCTTATGATTCTCTCAATTACCTTTCCCAAGGATAAAATTATTTCCCTTTTTATGATGGGACTTCGAGATTCAATTCCTGTGCCAAAGACACAGCACCTGCGGGTTGTAGAGCTAAGCCTGGAATTCACATCTCCTGAGTCAGGCATGCCTCCTTGTAAGTAAACACTCAGTTCACCAGGGTCACCACACCTACTGCATATGTACCATGATTCAATATTCTGACTCATCCTAGTCAATGACTTTCCACATATATCAAGTGAGTTAATGATTACTGCACCAGTTCATTAAAATCAGAGTCAGACAAGTTTAATTTTGTAACCTTCATACTCTAGCAAGTCATTAGATGATTGGATGGCATCACTGACTGAATGTACATGAGTTTGAGCAAACTCCTGGAGATGGAGAATGACAGGAAAGCCTGGCCTGCTGCAGTCCATGGCATCAGAAAGAGTCGGACACAACTTAGCAACTGAACAACAAGACTCAGTGTAACCTTTATTTCCTACAAAAAGAAGCAGTAATTTGTTACCTACCTCACACAGCCCTATGCTCTAAAAGACAAGCCAGCTAATATCAGGTGAAATAAGTTCAATCACTTGTTTTAGAGCAGCTGTTTTAATTTTTTGAGAAATCAGTGTGAGTGTGACTGAACATCATGGAGTCACAGAGTCAGACACAACTTAGTGACTGAACAACAAAGTGCCTGCTCTGCTCCACTTTCCTTCTGATGAAGCTCATTGCTTTTCATAGAATGAAAGAGTCAAAGATAATTTAAATACTGAAGGGATTTCTGAGATCAGTTAGTCTAATTTACTTTTCTGATGAGCAGTTAATTACAGTGAGACATAGGGTCCTCATTGCCTCAGTACAAGGCCTTGCATTAGAATCCCATTCTTCCAGCTCCCAGTTTGAGTGACATCTCACATTAAGTAACATTCCTGTTGCTGTCCAAATG